CCAGTTATGATACTCTGCATTTGGAACAATTCTGAAATGGCTTGCCAAATCAGATTCCAGTTGCAGGTTGAGCCCTTTATATCTCAGGCTTTTTAGCATATTAGCTGGTTTCATTCTCATGGCTTTTACTGTGCTCTTTTGACATTCACTTTTTAGAGCTCTGCTATTTTAATCTATACAATTATTATTTATATTTTCTCACTTTTGGATTTGATTTATGATCTCACAAGCCATCCTCAAAGACCTGCTGAAGGGAAGCAAGTGTGTGTGTGTGTATATGCCTTCAGTGACCCCATGAATTTCCTATGTTCTTCTTAGGCAAGGAATACACAGGGGTGGTTTTGCCAGCTCCTTCCTCTGAAATACAGCCTTCAGCACCTGGTATTCATTGGTAGTTCCTCATCCAAGTACTAAACAGGCTGACCCTGATTAACATCCAAAATCAGATACGATCTGGTATTTTTAGGGGATTTAGTATATAAATCACACTGCAGAAATAATCCAGTTTGACACCGCTTTAACTGCCATGGCTCAATGTGATGGAATTCTGGGAACTGTAGTTTGTAAGACATTTAGCCTTCTCTGTCAGAAGGTTCTGGTGCTACAACAAACTACAATTCACAGAATTCCACAGGAATCTGCCGTGGCAGTTAAAGTAGTGTTAGGTTGAATTATTTTGCTGTGCAGATGCAGCCTTAGTCTTTTTAATCATTACTCATATTTATGGCAACTTTTTGTTTTTCCTCACTTTTTAACCTGTTGATTTATGTTAGTGACAACTAAAGACATGGTGAGAAAAGATGGGGACTATCAACGTTACTATTTATGTCGTGTGTCTTCGAATAATTTCCAACTTATGGTGACCATAAGGCATACCTATCATGGTATTTTCTTGCCAAGATTTGTTCAGAGTGGGTTTTCCACTGCCTTCCTTTGAGGCTCAGAGTACACATATGACTTGCCCAAGGTCACCCAGAGGGTCTCCATGGCTGAGCGGGCATTCAGACCCTGGTCTTCCAGAGTCCCAGTCCAATACTCAACACACTAGACCACACTGGTTCTGTTTGGCACAATCAACACTGTATTTACACCATCAACATAGTGATGACCAAATAAATACAGTGAAATAAAGAAAGGCACCTACAAACTCACTCCAGTGTGGTTAGACCAGGCGAAGGCAACCTTTCTCCTTTAAGGGCCGAGGGACTTCAGCTCCCAGAAGCCTCAGCCATGTTGGCCAATAGTCCCATGTTAGCCAATAGCTCCTGGGATTCTGGGAGCTAGAGTCCCTCGGCCCTTAAAGGGGAAAGGTTGCCTACCCCTGGGTTAGACTATTGCACTGAAGTCCAGATTCATGTCTCCACTCAGCTCTAATACTTTCCATGCGACCATGGGTCAGTGGCACACACTCTCAGCCTGCACCAACTCACTGTGTTATTATGAGTTTAAAGCAGTAAAGAAAACAGCCATGCACAGTAGCTCACTGGAGGAAATGTGAAATATAAATATAGCTAGTAAACAAACAGGCATTCAACAAGTCCACCCTTGAAATTAGAACTGTGTACATTCCAGACCCCAAGTTTGGATCCCTATATTAATTATCAAACATGCATCTCGCCAAATTATTAAGCAACCAGTTTTCGAAGCTCACTGCTGACTGTGCTAATAGCAAAGGGAGCAACATTAATTTCTGTCTACAGTGTTTAACAGAACTTGCACAAGTGGGCTATCCCTAAAGATTTAACTTAAGGGCAATAACTGCAACAGTAATTTTTCCTTCTTTTCAGCATCTCACTGCTGTCCAAAACTAGCCCACATCTGGACAAAAATGAAAAGCAGCTGCCTGGTATTTGGCTGACAGCTAACCTTAAACTATAGTTCAGCTTCCAGAACTTCTTGTCTTCCATTTTCAGGAGAGTTATCATTTCTATTCTATTTTAAAGAAGTACTACATATAAAAAGCAGAAAGTTAATAAAGAGGAGGGGGGTTATTGCCTAAAAATCACTTCTGGCTCCACACACACAGCCAGAGATGTTATGTTTCCTGCTTTCTTTACTCATTTTAACTTCATGCAAACAAGGACAAAGCAAGATAAACATAACAGTCTGGCTTTAGTTTTTGGGAAAAGAAACAGTAAGATGACCATATGGACTTAGATTACTGCCATGGAAAAGAGAGGGGGGTTGTATCAATAATAATTATGCAGACAATGCAGTTTCAGCAGGTGTAGCTTTTCCCATCATTGCATAATAAAAGTTGCCCTTGCCAAATCTTCCTCTTTTAAGTACCATTAAAATTCCCATCTTCTTCAACATATAATCAATCTCATACAAACATCTGCAGCTGCTGGCTTCAGTGGTAACAACTTCAGGGGAAACTTGAGTAAAATCAACCTCTATAAACTAGTGATAACTTTACCTTCCTACTGGTTCAAGCCTTCACTGTCAAAACTCAAGTTAAGTTTTCCTACAGAAGAGCAAACTATGTTCAGACTGTTTTTCATTCTGTCTCAAATGTGTGTTAACTCCTGCCAGCAAATATTTAAATGTCAAATGTAGTTCTTTAAGGCCAAGATTGTTTAACACTCGGTGAGAAACAGAGTGAACTGTTGTCCTAGCAGGACCAAAAATCTTAGTTGCAAAGATCTATTATTGTTCTGAATTTAGATTTGAAATTTAATGACAGCTGGAAGAATAGTGGATTACTTTTCTTTGCAAACTATCCCTAAACTAAACTTTCAAATGCTATTTTCTAAAATTTATTTATGAGGAATGCTGGGTCACTGTTGAGATGCAGAAAGAGTTTCTAGCTATAGGTCTGCCTTTCCCCATCTTTTCTGTCAATTGCTATTTGATCAGCCAATTAGATCCAAGTTTAATGTAAAAACCTAAAATTAAATGGCTATTAAATGTACCATCAAATGCAAACATTTGATTTGTTTTTTTAAAAAATGATTAAAGGCTAGAGTGCAAAGAGATTAATTTACAACCCCAAGAAACAGCTGGGAAATCCCCCAACTGTCTGCCAAGCCATTTAAAGAAATCACCCCTCTGGAGGCTGATGCCTTTTCCTTCAAAACAAAAAGACAAAAATGCATGCACACAAGCAAGGACAGAATACAAACTATTCACTTTCTATTAAGACAACTCCGCAAAAGTCAAAGAGAAAGAAAGCAATATGAACTCAAAAATGAAGAAGGCACCTTAGAGGAAACAAAAACTTTATAGAAAGGAACGAAGAAGGGGTGACAAGGAAAGAGAAAAGGAATATATCCAAGAAGAACTAGAGGAGAGTTCTAGTCTTTGGATGCAGGATTAACCAACAGTTAACACAGACACTGCCATGCATTTCTATTTACACATGACTTTCTGGATGATATCCCAGAATCCATCAAGCACTCTTGGTGATCATATTTAAAACGCCTGCTCAAATAATCATACCCTCTAAAAAAAGGAAACGAAAGGGGCATCACTGTGCTGACAAAAAGGACACCTGATAGAAATAATGATTCAGAGTTGGTGTGTGAACATACCGCTAAAGCCAGAGACTGAGTACCAGTGAGGGCTGACAAGACTGTCAAGAACCAGACAGGGTTTCTGCAGGAGAGAAGGCAAAGCCCAGAAAGAGTTGCAGTCTGTCAGCAGTGGAAAGAAAGGACAGATATCAAAAGAAGGCATGTGTGGCAGCCGGTAAGGTAAACTGATCCCAATGAAGCATAGAGGGGTGTCGGGACAACAGGGAAGCACAGGCATGGAGAATTAAACCTGAGGGGTTTAAAGAAAATGCATCAAGACAACAACTGATAGAGAGGAGATGTGGAAATCTGCAGATATAAGAATGGCATGTAAAAGAAAGTTGAGCCTAGCCATTTGGAAAAGAAAAACAGAGCAGAAAGAAGAAATGGGAGGAAGAGGCAAGGTTACCAAGTGATAAACCAGATGGGGACATGATGCTACTGTTGTTTCAAATTGTTGTAATAGTTTTAAAGGTTGATCAAAATGTTTAAACTTCAGATTCATTTTTAATGTAAGTTCCCCTGAGGCCCTTGGATATAGGGCAGGATGTAAATATTTTAATAAACAATCAAACAAACATCAGCTAGAACTAATAAAGGCACTAGCCAACTCTGGGGTTTATTTTTTTCTCAGAGACCACCATGACTATCATTGCTGCTGCATTTTCTTGGATTAACTTGATTCCCTTTGAGATTATAAAGTGGAGAAATATGTGCATATAGTGGTGGGTAAGGAGTTATGTGAAGACTATCCCACAGCCTTTTTTAAAAGTCCACTTGGAAGGCAACACAATGCTACAGTGGAACCTCAGGGGGAGGCTCTTCCCCTCCTGCCCACCCCCAAAAAGGATGCTTGTCCTGAGGAAGATCTGGTGCTGGGAAGTAAAAGTGGCCAAGAGAAAGGTCCATTGGCCTGGTGGGGATGAAAAGGGTGTCCCCTGCTCCAAAAGGAATGTATAAAAGAAGAGCCAAGCAGGGGGTAAACTGACCTATGAGCTCAGCCCTAGAACATTTGAAAGTTGAGTTTAGGATAAGTTTGCAAAGAATAGGTAGTTGATTATTCTTCCGGCTGTCATTAAACTAAATTTGAAACCTAAATTCAGAGCAGTAAGAGACAGATCTTTGCAACTAAGAATTTTGGTTTCGGTAGGGCAACAGTTAACTCAGCTTCTCATTGATGTTAAGCCACCTGGGCCTTAAGAAATACATTTGACCTTTAATGGGGCAGAGAAGGGACTTCCTAAGTATGGATTTCAAATTTAGGAAGTCCCTTGTTCACCACCCCACTTTGGAGAGTGGGGAGGACAAGAGAGCAAGTCCAGTATTAAGCCTGGGGGAAAATTTGTTGTTGTTGTGTGCATTCATGTTGTTTCCAACTTATGGCAACTCTAAGGCAAACCTCTCATGGAGTTTTCTTGGCAAATTTTGTTCAGAGGAGGCTTGCCATTGCTATTCTCTGAAACTGATAGTGTGTGACTTGCCCCAGGTCACCCACTGGAATGAACCATGGTCTCCGGAGTCGTAGACCAACACGTAAACCACTACGCCATGTTGGCTCCACTGGCAACACTAAGAATTGGAGGAAGGAGGGGAGCAGTGAGATAGAAATTATATCTTATTATATCTGAGCATTGGAACAAAACTAAGTCCTATGAAACCCACTGGGTGACCTTGGGTAAGTCACATCCTCTCAGCCTCAGAAGGCGGCAACAGCAAACTTCCTCTGAGCAACTCTTGCTAAGAAAACGCAGGGTCTTAGGATCGCCACAAGTTAGAAATGACTTGAAGGCACACAACAACAGCAACTTCCAAAGTCTGCTTTCTGTTTGCATGAGCATCCAATATGATAACCACGATGTACTGCTATTGCTGGACTGGCCCTGAGGAAAACACCTCAACATGTCTTATTGACATGCATGTGATTGTTGTGTGTTCACTTGTGTATTACTGGATATTTACTATTATCAATACAGCTCCAATCCAACTTCTTGATTTCATTCAGATTTGTAAACCTTTTTTTCTCTGCAGTCTGATGCCCAGTGACCCTCTTGTGTATTTTTCCACTGGCAACACAAGGAAGTGCAAGGGAAATACTCTGGAGAGCAAGGGAAGTAAAGTCCTCTGGCGGTGGTGGTGGCCTGAGAGGGGCAGCCTGCAAAGAGAGTCAGAGGGAAGCCAAGCCCCGGATAGAAGAGGGGGCCCTCCGGGAGGGGAAGAAAAGGGGACCAGGGTGACCAGGTATATCCTCACCGCAATGGAGGACAAGGCACTGCAAAATGGAGGGCCTTCAAGAAAAAATGGAGGACATGACAAAAGTAAAAGTTAAACACACTCCTAGAAATATAAATGCGTGCTTCGGAGTTATGCTCAACCTTGGGCAAGTTACACACTCAGAGCATGGCCAGGGCAAAACCCTCTGAACCCACGAAAAGCCCCATGACCTTAGGGTCTCCATAAGTCAGAAACGACTTGGGAGGCACATAACAACAACAAAGCCATGCTCAAAATGGAGGACATTTTGGAGTCCCTCCCGGGCAGAAAGCTGAAATGTAGGACCCGTCCTGGGAAATGTAGGACCCGTCCTGGAAAAGGAGCTGGGAGTTTGTGGAGACAAGATGAGGAACCACTGCAGCGGAGATGTGGAGCCATGAGAAAGGCGGTCTCTTCCCACACGGGACCACAACATGGAGGACCTTCCAGAAAAAAAAGGAGGACATGCCAAAAAGTTTTTTTGAAAAAAAGCTCAAATATAAATATAAATATAAATCCATCCTTCTTAGCCCTGCTCAGGATGGAGGATGTTTTGCAACTCCTCCTGGAGAGAAGCCTGTCCTGGGAAAGGAGGATGTGTCTGAGCCCCTTGAGTCTCCTGCGCATCCTCTGGCAGAAAGGAGGAGGAGGAGGAAGGCGGGAGTGATGATGGGGATGAAGAT